CACCACTGATCATCCTTAGATCATCCTTAGTGGAAGCAGTATGCAGTTACAGCCTTTGCAGAGTGGGTTCCACAGCTTGTGCCTGGGAGCAGATTCTTCTGCATCTAAACTGAAGTTGCTGTTAACTAGAAATGCTCATAATGACCTCCAACATAGGGTTTACCTTGTGTTTATCCAGTGTTGGCTTACAGCATGCACTTGGTACCTTTGGTTTTGCTTTCACATGTTCTTAGGCATAGGATAAATCTGTACATTGTGTGTGGTTAGTGGAAATTGCATCCTCTGTTCTTTTTGTTAATCAGTGTTCAGGTTTGGAGAGATGCTTCAGTGGTTAAGAACACTTATGGGTCACAGTCATTCTGTAACTCCAGTTCCAGGGGATCAGGTGCACACTTGGTGCACCTACATAAATGAAGACAAAACATTCACACACATAAAAATCTTTAATGTTAAAAACAAATATGCGCCTGGTATGGTGGTGCACACCTTTAATCCCAGCACTTGGGATGCAGAGGCAGGCTGATCTCTGTGAGTTCGAGGCCAGCCTGGTCTACAGAATGAGTTCCAGGACAGCAAGGGCTGTTACATAGAGAAGTGCTGTCTTGAAAAACAAAAAAATAAACAAAAAACAACAACAACAACAAAAAAAAAAAACAGGCAAACGGTCTCAGGCCAGTGATTGCTTAGTGGGTAAAGGTACTCGAGTTCTATCCCCAGGACTCTCAGGGTTAGAAGGGAGAACCAACTCCTGTAGAGTCATCGTTAGGCATGCACGCACACACAATAATAATAATGATGTAAAGACCAGTATCAAAATGGGCAGTGGTGTTGCACGCCTTTAATCTCAGCACTTGGGAAGCCAGAGGCAGATGGATCTCTCTGAGTTTATCTCTGGTCTACAGAGAGAGTTCCAGGACAGCCGGGGCTATGCAGAGAAACCCTGTCTCGAAAAACCAAAACAGTAACAACAACAACAACAACAAAGAACCCCTCAAACCCAGCACCAGATGACCAGTTAAAGAACTGCTCCACCCCAAAGAAGTGGTTTTTTGCCAATTACCGACACCCTCTCAGGTACCAAGCTTCAGCTTGTGCGGTTAAAATGATTTGGAATATCTTTGAAAGAATTGGTGCCAATTCTTTTTCCTCTCTAAAAGAAATGGCTGCAGAGAACTTGGGCCCTGGGCCTAATGTCAATTCCATAAGGCTCCTCTGTTGTTTTTCCTCCTTGTCCCTCTTTGCCATGTGGAGATGTGTGCTGATAAGCCGCCCTCTCTGTACCTGAAGGTTCTTTGTCATTTCAGACAGCATGGGCTTTTGAAAACGCCGGGGAGGCAAAGTTATATAAACTGCATTCATAGTTAAATATTTGCTTCCAGGTGGAGGTGAAAAATGCTTTGTACTTTTCCCTTTGGCTTTTTTTTTCCTAAAGAACTTGTCGTGCAACAACAAGAAAAAGTGGCCAACGGCAGAGAAGGCTCTTCTCTTTCTGTGTTGGTTTGTTTTTATTGTAAGGCAAACCTTTCCTGTTGTATTGTTCTAAAGCTTAAACCTGGCCTAGAGGTGCCAGTCTTGAGTGGAAGCAGCTGCAGAGCCGTCCGGGCCAGGTGGGACTGGCTTTGAAGCAGCATGCTGCCTTTTCAAAGAGAACTGTGGGAGCGAGCGAGGGCTTGATTCCTAGAGCTCATCAGCATTCCTCTGTCGACTCTGACTGCAAGGTCGATATTACCGGGGAAAAAAGATACCAGATCCCTTTTCATGTACAGAGTAATCTTATTTGTATCTTAAAAATACAGAAATGATGGGGAGTCACAATTAAGAATTAAAAATGTAGCAACCCCATCTAATTAAGACCACAGCGAAGGTTTCTTGAGAACTGGGTTTGGCTTATTGCCTGAGATTTTGAGCTTGGTTATATTTTCAGATAAGTGCAATTGGCAGGAGCAGCCATCTGGTCACATATCTGGACTCTTGAGGTGGGCGTTCTGGGTTGGTGTGGGCATGTCTTATCCTTTGAGTGGTGCTGGTAGCAGTGGGCTGAGCATCACTGTGGCCTGCTGCTAGGAAACATTGAACACCAGAGAGCTTTCTTTCCTTGGGGAAAATGGAAGAGACAGGCACGGAGGCAAAGGGACTAGAAAAATGCTGAAGTAGTTTCCTCTGGGCTTTGATTCCCTTGCCAAAAACTTGCCTCCAGACGGAGATGCACAAAAGCTCAGATTGGAGGCCTACCTGCTTTCATTGGCTTACCTCCGTGAGCTAGACCAATCTACCTCATTCTCGTACTGATCTTGCTGACTATGAGGAGTGAGACAAATTGCCACAAAACTGAACCTTCTGCCATTTTGCAAACCAAGCAAGCAATACCAGGTTCCTGGGCTTGGTATAGCATAGCAGTGGCTTCTATCCTCTGAGGTTCTTGGGTCAGTCCTGCCAGGTAGACTAATTTGGGTGACATGTGGTAGGATGATTCTGGGGAGGAATCTGAGCAAGCCCTGTTGGCTCTATGTGGGCTTGTGACTAGCCTGGTCGCCTAGCACTCTGGCTGTTACATGGAGAGCATGGCTCATGTTTTGATTATATCTTACTTTACTGCTTCTAGAAGTCTCTACTAGCATTGGTGGGTGGAAAATAGAGGAGACTCCTGTGTCTGGATATACTGGGGACAGTGGCCGAATTGGATCCACTTGGCCCTGTAAGCAGCAGGTTGTTCTGGGCACGCTATTTTCTGGAAACAAGGGAATCTACCATAGAAGGCAGTTTGGGGTATCGTTATGACAGGGGTCTCATGTAACTCAGACTTGTCTTGAGCTAGCTATGTAGTTAAGGATGACCTTGAATTCCTTACCTTCTTGCCTCCCTATCCCATCATTGGGGTTTTACTGTCACAACTGAGAAGGTTGTTTGTTTTAATTTTCTTGGGGCTTGAGAAATGGCTTAGTAGTTAAGAGCACTGGCTCTGTGTGTGTGCGTGTGTGTGTGTGCACGTGCACATGTGCATGTTCATTTTCAGATTCGATTTCCTGCACCCACATGGCATCTTAGAACCATCTGGAACTCCAGTTCCAGAGGATCCAACACCTTCTGGCCTCCGTGGACAATAGGCAAGCATGTGGTGCACAGACATGCCTGCAGGCAAAGTACACATACCATAAAATAAAAGACTTTCCTTGGAAAGGAGGTGCTGGGTACTCAAGAGTAACATTCAGTGTTAATTCCCTTTACTTTTCATTATGCCATCCTCAATTGGCTACTTACCAGACCAACTTTGGCAAGCTACTTTCCCATGAGTTTTTTTTTTTATGGAAATTGGGCAGCATTACTGGTTTTTCAAATACTGCATTTTAAATTTGGCACCAAAATACTTAATAGCACAGGGTCTATTGGACAGTGCCACTGGTGATTTTAGTTAAAGTTCACACGACATAGAGGCCAGCTGTGTATCCAGTGTGTGTCAGCTGTGCTGCTGTGTTCTTAGAAATGTGGTCCTTGAGCCGGGAGTGGTGGTGCACACGCCTTTAATCCCAGCACTTGGGAGGCAGAGACAGGCGAGTCTCTGGCTGTGAAACTCAGGAGCACATTACTGTGCTGCATGCTGTGGTGTCGCTAACACTGGCAGGTGTCTGCCCAAAGCCATCTGAGCGTAAGACAAGGGGGAAATAGGTTAAAAGTGCAGCCCTGGGGCTTGCACTGGAGGAGTCTGACACCTGGGCTGTCACTGCAGACTTCACAGGCATGGATGGTGTGCTCAGACTACACTTGTTTAAAATGTTTTTTCTTCAACAATGATCTCTTGGTGTTTTGTTTTTAGGAAGAGAACAGACTTATTGGGCACAGTGTTAGGAAGGGTCAGTGACTGGTCAGTAATATAAGTACATACAGCCTCACTCTGCAGCCTGGCTAGCCTGGAATTCACTCTATAGACCAGGCTGGTCTGAACTCACAGAGATCCTCCTGCCTCTGCTGGAATACAGACCACCATTTCTGGTAACCTTTTTATTCTTTTGTACTCACATTTAGCTTAAAATACAAACACACTTATATAGTAAAAGTGTTTCCTTTATATTTGTATTCTGTAATCTTTTTACTTTTTGTTTTTGTTTTTTAAGACAGGGTTTTTCTGTGTAGTCCTGGCTGTCCTGGAACTTGCTCTTGTAGACTAGGCTGGCCTCAAACTCAGAGATCTGCCAGCCTCCACCCGAGCGCTGAAAGTAAAGGTGTGTGCCACCACTGCCCAGCTAATTTTCTTTCTAGCATTTAAAATTTTTTTTTGCTAAAATTTAAGACAGACACTCTCACACACACATGTACACACTCACTCACACACATGTGTCCTGAACCTATTCCTAAGGTCAGAATCATTCCTAGAACCTTCAGCTCACACTCCACTGGAAGTTCAGCTGCAGCAGAGCACAGGGAACTGTCCCTTCCTGTGAGGACACCGACACTTCTGGAGCACCTGGACGACCAGATTGAGACATCCTCTTTAGAATCACCAGGGTGCTTTGCTTTGCCCCTTTCTCCCTAGTTTTGCTGGTAACAGAGAATGCACTGTGAACAGCCTCTTGGTATGGGGTCCTGTAACTGTACAGAGCTAGTTGAATCTTCAGAAGGAACTGCCAAGCCCATCCCGGGGAATTCTCCTGACTCGTCTTTCTGCACTTGCCTTCCTCTGGTGTCTTCTTCCACCTCTGGTTCCTATTTCAGCCCATGGGAATCTATGGTACAACCATCACACTTGCAGTCTGTTCTTGCCACATGTTTTGTACTTGTCTGTCTAATGAAAGAAAGAAATCTTGGCCCCATGTGTGGTAGAATGATCAAAACCCACTGAGCATGCTGGTACATGTTTTTTTTTTTGTTGGTGGTGTTTTTTTTGTTTTTTTTTTTCTCCTCCAGACAGTGTTTGTATAACAACTCTGACTGTCCTGGAACTCATTCTGTAGACCAGGCTGGTCTCGAACTCACAGAGATCCACCTGTCTCTCTTTCCCAAGCCCTGGGATTAAAGGTGTGCACCACCACCACCAGTGGTACATACCATGCCAGCCAGGGCTGCTTAGCAGGATGCTGCTTCAAAAGGCAGAAGAGCAATAAAACCCACCAGATTTTAGCAGCAGCACAAGTTTGGGAGAACCAGGACTTTATGTGATTTACTCATAAAGAGGTTGGCCCAAGGCTCTACTGGACTGTGGGACAGACACAGAACTTCAGAATAATCTGGGCATGGTGGTGCAGCCTAGAATCCCAACAACAGTGAGGAGGAGGACTGAGAATCTTTGTCTCTAAACCAGAGCGGAGTACAGAGTTCATGAACTGAATGTGTTGGTCTATAGAGCTTGGCTGTGGGGGAGAAATAAATTATGTGCAGTGAGGCGCTTGTGTTGGTAGACAGTGCGGGGCAAGCCTTGTGAAGTGGTGTGGTAGCAGTTTTTCATGCACTTGATGAGAATACAGCTAGCACCTGAGCTAATTGCACCTTTAAGTTGGGCTTCAGGTTACTCACAGATACAGTGTATCTTTTTCTTTTTTAAAAAAACAAAAAACCTAGGTGCATGCGTCTGTAAGGCTGCCCGCTCCTTTCTGTCGTGCTGAGCCCGCTGAAGAGTCGCCATGAGCAAGGCCCACCCTCCCGAACTGAAGAAATTTATGGACAAGAAGTTATCATTGAAGTTAAATGGTGGCAGACATGTACAAGGAATACTTCGGGGTTTTGATCCCTTTATGAATCTTGTCATTGATGAGTGTGTGGAGATGGCAACTAGTGGGCAACAGAATAACATCGGCATGGTGGTCATACGAGGAAACAGCATCATCATGTTAGAAGCCTTGGAAAGAGTCTAAACAATGGCTGTTCAGCAGAGGAGTTCACATACTTCCCCAAAGGACTGTTTGACTTGGGTGTAGAAGTGGGTCATGTACATTTTCATTAAAAAAAAAAAAAGCTTTTTGCTAAATAAACTTTTGTAATACTCAAAAAAAAAAAAAAACCTAAATAATGGTGCAGGTTATGTGTGGACTAAGCAGAAATTTAGAAGTTGGCATCAGAACTAGGGTTTGACAAATTCTGACTCAACTTATCCTGATAGGCAGAACTTTTTCCAAGCTGAGACTCAGAGTGAGGTGTTACCAAGGCTCGGGTTGTAGTTACACGCCACAACCCTTGCCTGTCATGTGAGGGCTCGGGATGGGATTCCCAGCTCTGGCAAAGGGAAGCGCTTTTCCCTCTGTCTGGACCCTGACTTGTGTGATAGTGCAGCCTTTGGAAATTGTTCTGGATCATTTCTTCTTCCTTCTAAAACGGTAAGCATCACCTGGGGAAACAAAGTGACAAGGGGAGCTTTTTAGTGACTCCTGTGTGAGTCTGTCTGCAACAGTAGTCTTGGGGTCCCCACTCTCTCCCACTCTGCAGAACTCCAGGACAAAATGGTAGGAAATAAAGGTTTTCATTTTCTTTTGGAAGGAGCAAGACCGGAGGCATCTGGAGTGTCGCTGTCAGTGAGGAAGGTTAGAACGGGAAAACAGGCTTCCAAGTCATAAAAGTAGCCTCTTGTGTACATCTTAGTTCAGCCCGTGTTTGGGTCTCTGTTACCGCACTGTAACACTCTTTTCCGTTTCTGCAGGTACTGGTTTTGGATTAGGAGTTGTTTTCTCACTCACCTTCTTTAAAAGTAAGTGACTGTCCCCAGCTTCTCACTACAGGGTCTGTACAAATGCTGCCAGCCCGTCCGTTGTAAAATGGGCTAGACGGAGACTGTGGAGCCAGTCTATATGGGTTGGACATCTCCAGTGTTCCCTGGGGGCAATGAGTCAGGGTTGTCTGCTGTCTTAAACCTGACATCCTTTCAAAAGTCTACGTTTCATGCTGACCAGTCTGCATGCCCACATATTTCTAAAGTGACCCAGAGATGTGGCTTACTGGTAATAAAGGCAAGTGGGCCAGAAGTGCCCTGACTTCTTCCAGAGTCTCCATCTGGGGAAAAGTTAACTTTGAGTATTGACTAGAAGCCAAACAGGTCGGCTTGACCTCTTTCCATGGAGAACTGGGAAGCACTGGGACTGGGGAATTGTAAGTGTGTGAGTGAACTCCACGGTTTTCTGTGTATAACCAAAGTTTGTGAATGCTGATGAGATTAATAAGCAATTCAAACACCTTATCAACATGTTCCTTCTGCCAAGGTTAGGAAACTAGTTCAGGTGCACAAATGATGCCCGACCGGGCTGTTTGCATCACACTTAGCAGCCCCAGGAACTTAAACATGCTGGATTACAGTGCTGTGTGGTGGCCTGTCACCTGCCAATCATCAGTGTGATGCCCACCAAGGGTTTTTGAATGCCAAACACATATGCTGGGTGGAGGCTTTGTCTTAACAATTCCCTGTTGGGATTTCTCTCTTTGTGTTCACTAGGAAGAATGTGGCCATTAGCCTTTGGTTCTGGCGTGGGATTGGGGATGGCCTACTCCAACTGTCAGCATGACTTACAGGCTCCGTATCTTCTACATGGAAAATTTGTCAAAGTACGTACAGAATTGATAGTTCTCTCACTTGCAGAATTCTCCAAATTTTTACCAACTTTTTTGCTTTAAGTTTATTTTCTGAGTATGGGTGGGTGTTTTGTTTGCATGTATGTCTGTGTATCAGGTGCATGCTGGCACCCATGGAGGCCAGAAAAGGAACATCAGATTCCCTGGACTGGAGTTATAGATGGTTGTGAGCCACTAAGTGGGTTTGGAGCCCAGGTCCTCTGTAGGAGCAGACAGTGCTTCTGTCTGATGTCAGTTCAGAAAGACTGAGTGGATCACTGACCTGGGGCAGACTGTTCGCTCTCCCTGCCTTTCACCTTCCTGGCAGCCGAGCTTGGCTGAGGGTGGACAGCAAGGAGCAGGCATTGGGTCTTTCTATTGTTGCGAGCGTTTCCATTGTTCCAAACTGAGTTGTCCTGGATGATGGATCAGAGGTGATTATGTGTATTAGATGTTTAATGGCTGGGAGGTGCTGTGGAAAATATTACGTTTTCTACAGCCTTGCACATGCTGCTCTAAAATGGCCTTGTAACTTCATTTGGACTTGAGTCTGTGCCTGGATGTTGTCATCCTTCTCACATGGAGGAACACAATCCCACTGGGGGCTCATGCAGCATGGCTGTATTGTGATAGCTGCTGGCCAAGCCCTGACTGAGCCCTTTGCACTTTCTTCATAGCCTTTCCCCCCTCACTTTCCAGTGGATTGTGGGAGAGGTATCCTCACTCAGCAGAGGGGGAGATTCTTAAAGAGGCAAGGCCTGCCAGCGACTGAAGTCAGCAGCTGCTGGTCTGCTGTGCTTGGCGCTCACCTGCAACCTCCTGGGTCACATCTGAGTGTCCAGTCATGCCTGCCCCTTCCTGTCTTTTCCCTCTCAGACTGGGGTCTCTGCTTGTGAAACAGATGGAAGCAGAAAGTTGGCCGTGATTGGAGCCATTGGTCCTGGGATCTGACTGAGGCAGCAGCCAGTGGTATAGGAACATCTCCTGCCCGATTTAACCAAATGTCCTTGCTTCGTAGGAGCAGTGACTTATGCTGAGAACATCCCAGCGGGAAGAAGGAGAAACCATGTTTATTCCTCAGGAATACTGAAGTGCCCTGGAGTGCGCTGACGTCCTGTGGCAGTGTCCTCAGCAACGCTTTCAACTCCAGCCACTGTTTATGTGTTTGAAACCAAGTCTGTTTCTTTTGTATTTTCTCTTTGGAAATTGTAAGGAGGTGATCTTAAATAAATTAAAAGTGGGAAGCCAAGTGCAAGGCCTTCATTCCTTTATGTGGCAGGAGGATTCTCTTTGAATTGGCCTAGCTGTGGATTCTCTGACCTCTTCAAGCAGCAGTCAGGTGTGTCCTCCCCATACCCCTAAGGCACGCTCCCCCCCCCCATCCTTCCTTGAAGACTGATGGTATCCTTGTGCAGTGATGGCCATGGTAAAGTCTTGGTGGGTGCTGCCTTCCTGATGCTGCTCTAGGCCTGTGCACTGCTCACCAGTGGACCATGACTGGCCTGGCCATACCTGCTGTGCTGACATCTATCCCATTGATGTCAATCCCAATCCTGCACAGAGCTTCCTTCAGTCTCAGCTCCTGCTGGCAGTGTGGAGCTGGTGGCCACAACCTGAATGGAAGGACATGTTGAGGTTTGAGGACAAAGGGCCACTTTCCCTTGTGGGTTCGTGTGAGGCACGATATAGATTGTTTTCCATTTTCTTCTGATATGTCCAGCACCCCTGTGCTCAGGCTTTTGTTGGTGTCCACGGTGAATGCTCTGGATGATGTTCGTGCTCATAGCTGCAAAAGGACAAGCAGTTCATGAGCTCGAGAGCAGGAGAGGGCAGAAGTGGCAGCTGAAGGGCCATCGGCCAGTGTCAGGACCTCAGGCTTTGAGGAAATTCAGGGTGGCCTCTCCCCTCCCTCTGCTTTTTTCTCCCTTATTCTTTGTTCTGCTTCCTTTTCCAGAAACATGTGCTGGGCTGTGAACCTGAACAGGCGGCAGGGGTGCTCTGCCAAAGATGGGCTGTGCCCAGGCCAGCAAGTCATGGCCATGGCATGCCTCCACCACTTGGCTGTTTCTCACACAGCACAGCCCATGCCATTAGAAGAAAAAGGCTGGGTTCCTCGCTTGTAGCTCTCTTGTTTGCTTTACATGTTAGTATCCCTTCTCCCAATTTTTCTGCCTTCAGAGTTAAAAATGACAGCCTCCTCCCCCATCCAAAAAGACAAAGGGAAAGCTGCCCCTGCATCTAGAATACGGCAGAAACCTGACATGAACAGGAGCATGAACTGAGCTTCTGTCTCGTCACTGGCTAGGTTTTAGGCCTCTGTTTGTGGGCATCTGGTCCCCCAGCACCCTTGAACCTCTGCTGAAGTGCCCATGAACCAGTCCTCCCCATCTCCCCTCCTTCCCCAGAAGGAAATGATTCTGGGCCGAAGCCAAGCAAAGGAGAGTCAGCTGTTTGTCTTAGTCCTAGCGCGTTTTGTATTCCCACCTTGTCGCTCTTAGCAGAAAGCATTAGAAGACAGCGTGTGTGTGTGTGTGTACGCACAATCTCAGACGAACCTTCACAAAATCCCAACTTGTTGGCAAGGAAAGCATTCTGTTCCACTTGAAGTTTCATTTGAAATTCAAGTCCTCTGGGGGCTCTGGACCCTTATGGGGTCGTGGAGCTTTGAGTTCACCTCTCCTCTGCCTTTCTGGAACCAAACACAAGAGGATACATGGATTTAAGGAGCCAGTGATGGGAACCCAGCTGGGCACAGGATACTAGGGCAAAGCTGTGGCGCCCCAAAAGTGGCCTGCGCTGCCAACATACATAAATACATACGGTCTGAACTTGACATTGTATAATTTGGCCCAGAACAATATGTATTTTGAACTCATTTAGGTGAATGACTTTTGCATTCCGAGTGGCTGGGGGAGCCTTTATTGGGACACATTTGCTGTCTACAGAAGTATGCCTTTGTTTGAGAAGTGGCCTCGGAACACTTTGCTGAGCTGTCCCTTTGAATGAATGTCACCCTCTCATCGGTTTCAAAAGACCCAAGAATGCAGTCCCACAATCCTGCAGGAAGCAGACACTGGGGTGAAGGAGATGGCTCTTGTTTTTGCTGTTGGTTCTCAAACCTCTGTTTACATCTTTTTTTTTTTTTAATGTAACCAACCCATAATTGGATTTTACTTGTCATGGTTCAGTCTGATTGCATTGTTGGAAGGACTATTTTTGAGCCTGTCCAAATAAACTCTGCAGAGTATTTCCACAAGGATGTAGTCCACGGAGCTGGGGCTGCTTTCCTCCGGACTAGTCTGAGACTCAAATGGTTTCCTGTTGCATGCTTTCTAATTGCATAAACGCACAGGGGTGGAAGGGAGAAAGTGGAAATTCTAAGTGCCGAAAAAAAAATGTTAAATTTAGGATAATAAGCTCATCTGGAAGCCATCACCACTTCCTTCAAGTGTGCTGAGAGCGCCA